GGCCTGTAGTGGAATTAATCTTGAATTGGCGAAAGTTGGATTTTCGGAAAGTTTGACCGGGAGTGGACTTTTTGATATCGGGGTCGGATTTTGATTTCGGAAGTTGGAATAGATCCGTAATGTCAAATGTGACGTGTGCAAAATTTGAGGTCAATCGGAGGTGATTTGATATGTTTCAGCATCGGTTGTGGAAGTTGAAGTTTCAAAGTTCATTGATTTCGGCTTGAGGTGTGATTCATCGTTTCGAGGTTGTCCTGCGTGATTTCAAGCTTCGAGTAGGTTCGTCTTGTCATATGGAACTTGTCTGCAAAATTCGGCGCCATTCGGAGTTGATTTGATAGGGTTCAGATGCACGGTTGTGATTCTAGAAGTTCTTGAAGTTTAATTTGATTTTCATGCGTTTTGGCGTCCGATTCGTGGTTTTAGAAGTTATTTTGATGATTTGAGCGCGCGAGCGAGTTCGTGTTGTGTTTTTAGAATTGTGTGCATATTTGGTTTGGAGCCCCGAGGGTTCGGGTAAGTTTCGGATTAGTTTCAGAATGTTCTTGCATTGTTTTTGATTTCTGGTTCTGGTATCTTCGCATTTGCGATGTATTGGTCGCAAATGCAGCCATCGCATTTGCGAAGAAACCTCGCATTTGCGAAGCCTGGGCAACTGGGCAGCTTTTGGCATTTGCAATGAATCAGCCGCATTTGCAAAGGCTGGTCTTCGCATTTGCGATGTTTTTGTCGCAAATGCGACCTCAGCAGAAATTCTTCAGGTTCGCAATTGTTATGTGTTTTTCGCAATTGCGGTTGCGAACCCCTTGTCGCAAATGCGACATCTGCAACCTGTTAAGTGCTGAGAATTCTGAGTTTTTGCCTCATTTTTCATATTTTTGAACCCTAGCTTCGTGGTGAGGCGATTTTGAGAGGGGATTTTCATGCCAAATCATTGGGTAAGTATCGTTAATCAATTTCCAACTATGTCTCATGATTGTATACAAGACTTAACATCAAATTCATGGGAAAACTATGAAAAAGTTTGGGAATTTTGTCAAATTTTTAAAAAATGAAAATTTGAGATTTGAGAGTCGAATAAGACTCGAATTTGAAAACAAAATACATATTTGGACTCGAGGGGCTATGAGTAGTCAAGACCTACTTTTGGACTCGGGTTTTGACTGGGCGGGCCCAGGGTTTGACTTTTATTGACTTTTTAGAAATTGAATAAAAATCATAGCTTTATTAATTGAAATTATTTTCTCTTGCATTGTGTAGTGTATTCAAGTCGTCATTGGCTAGATTGAGTTGAGCGGAGGTAAATTTGTAGAGGAAAAGACTAAATTAAGTGTTGGATTAGCCGAATTGAGGTAAGTGTTTTGCCTAACTTTGTTGAGGGAATTTTTCCTCTTATTTGTCATTATTTGCTACATGCGGGGGTGATACATATATGAGGTGACGAGCGTATATGTATGTGCCAGGGTTAATCATGCTCGGGGGGTGGATTATGTTACATTTATGTTTGTAGAATTTCATGACCTTATGCTTCATGCCTCACTTGACTTCTAGATATTAAGAACCTAGTAATAAATGTTAGAATCGAGACTTAGCCTAATATAACTTGATCGAATTTGATGGAATTCTGAGAATACATTGATGTGTCTCATTCGGTCATCTCTATGCATAATCATTAATATATTGCTACGGCCGATATTTTGAGATGCTAGATTCCATACTTGTGTTATTGATAAATTGTGGGCTTTGTGGAAGTACTTGAATTATGTGGACCTTGAGGGTTCATTGAATTATTGTTGGCTTGGAAATCAGTGATTGAGAATTTGTTTGGGATATTCGTTTGAACACTCTCCTCGATGTTATTTATACTTCCTGCCTTGCCATTTTATTGATATTCATATGCTTGGTAAAGAAGAGCGTAAAGCACGAAGGGTGTTGCCGTGTCATTTTATATTCATTATCATGTGAGGAAGAGTGAAAAGCACAAAGGGTGATGTCGTGTCATTTCATTTATATTGTTATGCTTGTATGTTATGGTAAGGTCATGGCACGAAGGGTGTTTCCGTGTAGGTGAGGACGAGGGACATGCATTATGATGTGATATTTGTTTCCCATGTATACGGTTGCGCCCTTACCTTGACCTGTTATTGTTTTATTTACATATTTGGTGTGACTTGTTGTTATTGTCCTGTACTTGACCGTTATCTCAATTGTTGTTGCACTGTCCATGTCTTTTACTTGCTTAACAAGCAAATACCATGCATATTTCCTGCTTTTAGAATTATACTCATGTTGTATCTATTCTGTTGCACTTTAGTATAAGCCTTCCACCATGCTAGCCATTCATGCCCTTACTTGTTAACTTGTAAAGAACATTGTGTTTCCTTCTTAATTGTTATATTTGTACTTAGGCCTCCAATATGCTAGCTAATTGAAGTTGATATTCCTTGTTTCCCAATTGTTGTTGTTACTCACGTGCTTTTCGCTTAATCCTTTATTGTGACCCACATGTGCACGGTCGCTACTTGCGTATTTCCTACTTAGTAATTCCTATTATTGTGTTCCTGTGATATGGTCTCTGTTATACGATCACTTGGGAAAGATGAGTTGAACGCACGAAAGGTGTTGCCGTGCTAATTGAATTGTTACATAAATTTATTTATACATGGTGAGGATGAGATAAAAGCACGAAGGGTGTTACCGTGCCATGTGATTGACATTTTTACATTTTAGACATATATCTCATACTAGGAAAGATCGTAAATATTCTAGTGTGGTATTTTTATCCGTTATACTTTGAATTGCTTTACTGTTAATATTGCAATAAGTATCTTTTCAACTAAAAGCCTCGTCAATAATTCGACGAGGTTAGACAAAATACTTACCAGTACATGGGGTCGGTTGTACTGATACTGCACTTCTGCACGTTCCGTGCAGATTTTGGAGCGGAGTTGCTGGTGATGTCGGGTGTTGATTCGGAAGATGTTCGCGCGTTTGGATATAGTTGCCACTTGTCCTTGGTAGTTTAGATTATTGCCAATCTATTTATGTAACCTTCAAACAGAACGTGTATTTATCTATATCAGTTTTGAAATTCCAAATCTTAGAAGCTCGTGATTCGTACTACCTGGTCTTGGTAAATTTGTAAATGTTCAATTATCTATTTTCTATTCTCTTATAATCTCAGTTGAGTTGTATTTTCTGTTAGTTGGCTTACCTAGCGGGTTGAGTTAGGTGCCATCACGACGTCGTGAAAATATTGAATACAGTTAAATACATAAAAATACATTGAATACATGAGGTATAGCAAGTCACCTATAGTGCAAAAACATATGAATACATACTGCAGATACATTTGAATACATAATACATCTGAATACATAAATTATATTAATTAAAAACAATATGAATACATTCATGGAATACAGCGAGACAGTGAATACAATGAAATATATGGAATACAGCGAGATACATTTAAATACAATGGAAAAAAAATGTAACAGACTCTTCAAGGCGAAGCAACTACTTTTTTTTTCTTTTGCCATTTTATTTTCGCATTCCTTTGCCTTGTCGAAATCTTCTTCTTATAATCTCTTAGAATGAATTTGAATTAGTTGGACCGTGAATTTTGAATAAAGAGTAGTTAAGCAAAAAAAAAATCACTTCTCTACTTTCCATTCAAAATGGCGTGAAAGATGTTGGATCTTAGAGTTTTTCAACTTCAACTATTTTAGATCGTCATGTTTGGAAACTAAATGGTTTTCCTAATGTAATCATCACTTCAGAAAAAGAAGAAGGTATCGCCGGTCGGAGGAGGGGGTTAGGGGTGACACAACAAGAAAGGGGGGAAGTTGTCGTCGACCGGATCTGTCGTTGGCGGAACACGGCCCCTGCTAGGGTTTTTAAAAGCGGGGGAGGAAAAAAACGAGGAAAAAAGAGAAAAAGAGGAAAGAGAAAGGAGGAGAGAGGGAATAGAGAGGGAGAGAGAAAAATAATACACAACGTATTTAATGGCTTAAAGGTAAAAAGTGGTCATAAATAGATATTTTGCTATAAAAATTAAAAGGTAGCTATAGGAAATAATTTTTTAAAAGGGGCATTTCTTTATAATAAATAAGGTATCACCCATTGTTATAGGAGGTAAAATTTCCTATATATACATATATTTATCTGTCGGCTACTCTTTTTGGATGGACGGTAATTTAAGTTAATTTCCCATGATTATGTATGGGCCCAAGACCCGTTTCTCAGGATCAGCCTAACATGTAAGCTCTTTCAATGATACATTAACTAGAAAGACTTCAAAAGACACGCAAGATATTTGCTAGTAGTACCCGTAAGGCCGTAACCAAGGAAAAAATTACAACAAATTTTAATTCTAAACCAAACATGAGTCGATACAATATGACACGATATTGGATATGAAATACTGATGCATTTACTATGATTTCTCACCTAAATCTTTCCACAACTATATGAAGTAGATTTTGGAGACCAGATCACCAACGAAAAAAGAGCACTTTGAAAAGGAAGATGATTTAGGAAGTACTACAAGTATAAACATGTTATTCAATAGACCTCGTTATTCAATATACTAAAGCTGAATAATTTAAATCACTGGTCAAATTATGGGCATGACACCACAGTTTCGAACCTTTCTTCGTCTCAGGAAAAGCAAAAGTTAAAAGGGAAAAAAATAAATTTCGCGTTCAGGAATTGAAGGCTATAGGCCATGATAGCCATTGACTAACTATTAAATAAGCAATACCATCAATTACTGATTACTGCAAGTAATAATATTCATCAACTTTCTATGCCAGACACGATCTCCATAATTCATTTAATACCACTTCGTTACAAGGTACCCAAGAATACTACTATTTCTGTCTCAATCCACCATCCACTACATCGACAGACTTAAATTCCAAAAGCACCCCGCCACACACCCACCCCACCCCACCCCACCCCACTAGAGGAAAAAGAGTAGTCTTTCGGCAGAAAAGGGTCACATCAGCAAAATTTTCCACTAATTGCACAATGTTTCAAATAGAGAATCACGAGAGAACACGTCTTTTGTTTTCCTTTGGAATCATTATCTAGACAATCTAGTACAAACATTTGAAATCCCAAAAACAGAGTTAGCAAAGACTATATAGAACTCAAGATCACCTCAACTGAATGGACAAAAAAAGGTTTTGGAAGATGTGAAAAAGCAAGAGAGAAGGAAGAACCAAGGGAATAATGCTAGAAAAGGCCTAGATAGCCATCATATACGAGCAACATAGGAATTGGCCTGAGTCACATATCTCACCCACCGATAAGGATTATATGCTTTTGACTTCTTCGCGATTTGTAAATATTTTACCTGCAACAAACATCCAGATATCAGGTTAGAAATGTATAAAAAATTAACAGACCCCAATCCATCACTTGTGGAGAAGAGATAATATGCACCATTTATTTATTTGTTTTTATTTCTTGTGTAGGGCTATCTGCCTCATGTCTGGAAACATCTAAAAGTTTGGTTTTTATATCGGTTTGAGTTAGATGACATTGGCCGACATGCTGTTCAACACATTACATTAGTTATTGAAGATATGTTCCTCACTCCCTATCCCAAAACATTATCTTCCCCTTTAGACAAGCCTTCCAACCTTAATTATCACAGAGGGCAGCCTGACAAATGAAGTTATTGAACATATGTCCCTCGTTCCCTATCCCGAATCATTCTCTTCCCCTTAGACAAGCTTTCCAACCTTAATTATCACAAAGTAAAACCTGACAAACGATCTCTATCACGGCCTCTCTCTCGAACAAACCTTGTTTAATGTGGCTACCTCATTCATCTCTCTAGCTTGTTAGAATAGTTACGTAAATAGTAGTAAATAACCCTAATTCCATATGTATTAGGAGTAGGACATGTTATGTATATATATATATATATAGGACTCATTGTATCATGTTTAACATATGAGAATAATATCAATTATATTTTCTCCCGTGCAGTCTCACATGGTATCAGAGCTTTAGTGAGAAACCTATTGATGTGCATCCTTCCAGCGACTTCCGGGAAGAAAGACCTCGTCGCCGTGCAATTTTCCGGCGACTTAGAAGGCTGCCCGCAATCACATCAATTTTTGTTGGTGTGTGCAAAAAAACAACACCACCACAAGACTCCTCAGGCTCCGGCGACCAAACCCCAAGTAAACCCCACCGGAAAACGCACGTACACGCGCCCTCACGCGCCGGAAAAGGAAGAAATTTTCCGGCGAGATCTGACCCACGCGCCGGCGCGTGAGCACTGTTCCGGCCATATTTTGAAAAACTTCTAGTTAGACAGTCGGATCGCCTAGTAATTCCGACTATATCCATACCTTTTTCGTTTGATTCCGACCACTTTGAGTTTTTCCGGTGACTACACTGACTTTTTCCAGCAGCTACAGTAATTTTCCGGCAAAAACAGTGTTTCCTTCTTCTGTTTCAGCGAGTTTTCAATTGATTCTTTCTGTTATTTGGTGATAATTTTATAGACCTCACTTCAATCCAACGATGTCTTTGGGAGTCGATGCTTTCGGGTCTAAAAACCCGGGTTCTGGCAGTTCCGGTGTTATGATTACCTCAGAACCTTTAATTGGAAGTTCAAACTACTTAGCTTGGGCTTCGTCTGTCGAGTTGTGGTGTAAAGGTCAAGGTGTTCAAGATCATCAAATCACGAAGTCTAGTAAAGGAGATGAAAAGGCCAAAGCACTTTGGGAGAAGATCGATGCTCAATTATGCAGTATTCTATGGCGATCTATTGATTCCAAGTTGATGCCCTTATTTCGTCCATTCCAGACATGTTATTTGGTTTGGGAAAAGGCTCGCACTTTATACACTAATGACATATCTCGTTTCTATGATGTGATATCGCGGATGACAAATTTAAAGAAACATGAATTAGATATGTCTACTTACTTGGGACAAGTACAGGCAGTCATGGAGGAATTTGAGAAGTTGATGCCAGTTTCTGCTAGTGTTGAAAAGCAGCAAGAGCAGCGACAAAAGATGTTTCTAGTTCATACACTTGCTGGGCTTCCTAATGATCTTGACTCAGTACGCGATCAGGTTTTGGCTAGTCCAACTGTCCCCACAGTTGATGAATTATTCTCTCGATTACTTCGCCTTGCTGCAGCACCAAGTCACCCCGTGATCTCATCACAGAAACTTGACTCATCTGTTCTCGCATCACAGACAGTGGACAATCGGGCATCTCATACTATGAGAATAGACGAGGAGGAGGTCGTTTTGGAAGATCTAGACCCAAGTGCTCTTATTGTCATAAACTTGGACACACTCGTGACGTGTGCTATTCTTTACATGGTCGCCCACCCAAAAATGCTTATGTTGCTCAGACCGAGACTACAGGTAACTAGGGATTTTCTTTATCTGAAAGGGAGTATAATGAGTTCCTTCGGTATCGAACAAGTAAGCAGACATCTCCACAAGTAGCCTCTGTTGCTCAGACTGATACTTCTGTTGCTGGTAATTCTTTTGCTTGTGTTTCCCAGTCTAGTCCTCTTGAACAATGGGTTGTGGACTCAGCCGCTTCTGATCATATCTCTGGTAATAAATCACTTTTGTCAAATATTGCGTATTCACAGTCTCTTCCCACTGTTACTTTAGCCAATGGGTCTCAAACCAAAGCAAAAGGAGTTGGACAAGCGAATCCCCTACCCTCTGTCAATCTAGATTCCGTTCTTTATGTCCATGGCTGTCCTTTTAATCTTGCATCTGTTAGTCGTCTGACTCGTGCCCTCCATTGTGGTATATATTTTATTTATGATTCTTTTATTATGCAGGACCGCAGTACGGGACAGACGATTGGAACAGGACTTGAATCAGAAGGCCTTTACTACCTTAACTCACTCAATTCCTCCAAGGCATGTCTAGTTACAGATCCTCCGGACCTCATTCACAGACATTTAGGACATCCAAGCTTATCCAAGCTTCAGAAGATGGTGCCTAGTTTGTCTAGTTTATCTACATTAGAGTGTGAGTCATGTCAGCTCGGGAAACATACCCGAGCCTCCTTTCCTCGTAGTCTTGAGAGTCATGCAGAGTCTGTTTTTTCTTTAGTTCATTCTGATATATGGGGTCCTAGTAGAGTCAGTTCAACCTTGGGATTTCGTTATTTTGTTAGTTTCATTGATGATCATTCAAGATGTACTTGGATTTTCTTAATGAAAGATCGTTCTGAGTTGTTTTCTATATTCCAGAATTTTTGTGCTGAAATTAAAAATCAATTTGGTGTTTCTATTCGCACTTTTCGCAGTGATAATGCCTTAGAATATTTATCCTCTCAATTTCAGCAGTTTATGACTTCTCAAGGAATTATTCATCAGACCTCTTGTCCTTATAACCCTCAGCAAAATGGGGTTGCAGAGAGAAAGAATAGGCACATCATTGAGACTGCTCGCACACTTCTCATTGAATCTCATGTTCCGTTGCGTTTTTGGGGCGATGCAGTTCTCACAGCTTGTTATTTGGTTAATCGGATGCCTTCATCTCCCATCCAGAATCAGATTCCGTATGCAGTATTGTTTCCCCAGTCACCCTTATACTCTGTTCCCCCTCGTGCTTTTGGGAGCACTTGTTTCGTTCATAACTTAGCCCCTGGGAAAGATAAGTTAGCTTCGTGCTCTCAAGTGTGTCTTCCTTGGTTATTCTCGTGTTCAGAAGGGATATCGTTGTTACTCACCTGATCTTCGTAGGTACTTTATGTCATCTAACGTCATATTTTTTTAGTCTAAACCTTTTTTTACCTCTTCTGACCATTCTGACCACCTTGATATATCTGAGGTCTTACCTATACCGACCTTTAAGGAGTCTACTATAGCTCCTCCTTCACCTTCCGCCACAGAAGTCTTACCCATTCCAACCGTTGGGGAGTCTAGTGTGGCTCCTCCTAGACTCCCCGCCATAGGAACACCACTCTTGACATATCATCGTCGTCCGCACCCAGCATCAGGCCCAGCTGATTCACGTCCTGCACTTGACCCTGCTCCTACTGCGGACTTGTCTCTTCCTAGTACACCAATTGCACTTCGGAAAGGTATACGGACCACCCTTAATCCTAATCCCCATTATGTCGATTTAAGTTATCATCGTTTGTCATCACCCTATTATGCTTTTCTATCTTCTTTGTCCTCTGTTTCCATCCCTAAGTCTACAGGTGAAGCATTGTTTCGTCCGGGATGGCGATAGGCTATGATTGACGAGATGTCTGCTTTACATACGAGTGGTACTTGAGAGCTCGTCCCTCTTCCTTCAGGTAAATCTACTGTTGGTTGTCATTGGGTGTATGTAGTCAAGGTTGGTCCGGATGGTAAGGTTGATCGTCTTAAGGCTCGTCATATTGCCAAGGGATATACTCAGATATTTGGGCTCGATTACAATGATACCTTCTCTCCCGTGGCTAAGATAGCATCAGTCCGCCTTTTCTATCCATGGCTGCTGTTCGCCATTGGCCCCTCTATCAGCTGGACATTAAGAATGCTTTTTTACATGGTGACCTTGAGGATGAAGTTTATATGGAGCAACCACCTGGGTTTGTTGCTCAGGGGGAGTCTCGTGGCCTTGTATGTCGCTTGCGCCGGTCACTTTATGGTCTAAAGCAGTCTCCTCGAGCCTGGTTTGGTAAGTTCAGCACAGTTATCTAGGAATTTGACATGACTCGGAGTGAAGCTGATCACTCTGTATTCTATCGGCATTCTGCTTCGAGTCTGTATTTATCTGGTGGCCTATGTTGACGACATTGTTATTACCGGCAATGACCAGGATGGTATTACTAAATTGAAGCAACATCTCTTTCAACATTTTCAGACTAAGGATCTGGGCAAACTAAAGTATTTTCTGGGTATTGAGGTCGATCAGTCTAGCTCAGGTATTGTGATCTCACAACGGAAGTATGCCTTAGATATTCTTGAGGAGACAGGAACAACAGGTTGTAGACCTGTTGACACTCCGATGGATCCGAATTCTAAACTTCTGCCAGGACAGGGGGAGCCTCTTAGCAATCCTGCAAGATATAGGCGGTTGGTTGGTAAATTAAATTACCTTACAGTGACAAGACCTGTCATTTCCTTTCCTATGAGTGTTGTGAGTCAGTTTATGGATTCTCCGTGTGATAGTCATTGCGATACAGTTGTTCACATTCTTCGGTATATAAAATCAGCTCCAGGCAAAGGTTTATTGTTTGAGGATTGAGGCCATGAGCAGATCGTTGGATTCTTAGATGCTGATTGGGCAGGATCACCTTCTGATAGACGTTCTACTTCTAGATATTGTGTCTTAGTAGGAGGAAATTTAGTATCTTAGAAGAGCAAGAAACAGAATGTGATTGCTCGATCTAGTGCAGAAGCAGAATATCGAGCTATGGCTATGGCGACATGTGAGCTAATTTGGATCAAACAATTGCTCAAGGAGTTAAAATTGGCGAGATTAGTCAGATGGGACTTGTGTGTGATAATCAAGCTGCTATTCATATTGCATCAAATCCAGTGTTCCATGAGAGAACTAAACACATTGAGATTGACTGTCACTTTGTTAGGGAAAAGATACTCTCGGGAGATATTGCTACAAAGTTTGTGGAGTCGAATGATCAGCTTGCAGATATTTTCACCAAGTCCCTCACTGGTCCTCGTATTAACTACATATGTAACAAGCTCGGTACATATAATTTATATGCACCAGCTTGAGGGGGAGTGTTAGAATAGTTATGTAAATAGTAGTAAATAACCCTAATCCCATATGTATTAGGAGTAGGACATGTTATGTATATATAAATATAGGGCTCACTGTATCATGTTTAACATATGAGAATAATATCAATAATATTTTCTCCCGTGCATTCTCACCAAATCTTCAATTCCTTCAAAATGGATATCACACCTCTGCTGAAGAGATGAGGTAAGCTAAATTGATGAAACAACTACTTTGAGGAAATTTTCATGCAGCTCCACCTCTGCTGTCTCTCTGTTAGCTGTTGTCCAAAAGGATATCCTTCTAACAATTCCTTGTCCAGAGACACTATCAATGATTTATTTCATTTAATGTAATCCTTTTACTAGAACATAGGAGAAGAGAAAAATATCAAAAAGAAACTCTTCGCCTAAACCAAAACAAAATTCGAGTTGAGTATATAAACAAACAAATTTAGTACTCCTCCTAGGTTAGATGCCGTTTTTCTTGTAACTTATGACTAGAAATCTAACTGGATATCTGTTTACCTGAAGCCTTGAAGGATTATACATTGGGATTGTGAAGGTCATGCTCACTGGTCCAGCTTCCTTGGTGATATTTCCTGTATTAGGACCATAGGAGAATTACAAGAATCAAGTCATGATGTATCGAAGGGATGTTTGGTAACAGAACTGCAGGATGCGGTACTGAAATAATAAACGAGATTGGCATCTTTCTTCTTCGTACCATGTGACTCTTGCGAAAATGTTAGCTTGGCACGTAATGTATGATCTGACCCACCAAGAACCTGTATCAAATTGAAGATCAGTAATTATTTCAAAGAACTTTTAGATAACAAGTCTTCCTAGATTAGGTAAGAAGAATCGCTTGAGAACAATAGATATATTACCTTCTTCAAACTCCACTCAAGCCTCTTATTGGATTCCTTAAAATCAGTTGTTTGACCAACTGCTCCAGGTTCCAACTCAAAGCTTACTCTACAAAGTTGGTGAGGGTAGACAAGGTCAGTTACTTTGGTTCACCTTCAACATGATAAATACTCCAAATGACATAAACATTAGAGTGTACCAGAGTGCCCAGTTGACGATGAGAATACCACAAAAAGAAATGCCAGCAAAAAAAAAGGGTGAAGCCCATAAAGATGCTCCGGAGCAGAGGTTAAAGTGAAGACTACCTGCTTGTATATGTAGGCAGCGGCATTTGTACCAAGATTGTATTTGCAGTGATGTCTGAAGGAAATTCAGCACGGATCTTCAAGATGACTTCAGCCTAATAGAGCAAAAGAAGTCCCGGTTATCTACGTACTCGTAAAACTGACAATACAAAAAGAAAAAAGAAGTTACAGAAAGCGTGTACTATCACTCTATTCTTTGACACAACAAACATGCAGACTACCTAAAGCACATCTTATTACAATGAATTTTAGTTTTTTCAAATGAAGGTAAACATTGTCTACCTTAAGTGATCCAGCTTCCTCAATCAAAGTATTAATGCGAAAGGGAGGCTTGAATTCCTGGGTTATCCGGTAATTCATGACAGGGAATTCACCATCAGGTGGAACCTAATAAAGCAGCATGATTTAGCATCAGATCTCACAGGGAAACAATAATCGATCACAAGAACATAATAAATATATCAATAACATGCTTTCTCGAACGTCACTCACCAGAGTCAGGGTCCTGTCCACATCAAAACTGTCAAGGTGCACAGATTCATGGAAATTGCAATCATCCAGTATTACTGCTCCAGAACCAGCCGAACCTCCATAATCTATTAGATTAAAATGTGATATCATCACTTCTCAGATCATACCAAATGCACCACATGGAGAAGTGGAATACAAGAAATAAATGCAATTCAGAAGCAACACAATTCTCAGATTGCAAGATAATTAGCATGTGATAAATCATCATTCTGCAGAAAAAGTGCAGGAGTCCATTTGTGACTAGAACATTAGATTACCATAAACTGATCTCCCACCGGCCCTTCCAATGCTCAGGTCCTCGTTTAGAGCTAATCTAATTTCTGGATTACCAGTAAGGTAGCTCTTCATTTGGATGGTCCCATCAATTTCAGAAGTCAATATATACCCCTGTATTCATCATAATGATAAGAAATACATACCAAAAGGACAGATAAACCACACATTTTACAAGTATAAAGAATATATTTTATTGGAATCGTACTTAACAAAAAATAATTTACTATAATCAAATGAGATTAAACCTTTTAAATAATCACTAACAGAAAAAGAATCTACTTGAGTGCCTGAGAGATGCTTGATTCACAAAAATCAGAATTAACCATCCTAATATCTTCTCATAGGAAAACATTTCAGTTCAACCATTCAACACTTTTTCCTATGCTTTTACTCCTAGTATTTTTCCCTTCAATGAGCAAATCAAAACATGCTTTAGCATCCCATGATGTTGCTGCAACAGGAGAGTAAAACAATTGAAGTTTCAGAATCAAAGTAGAAAACTCACACTTGAGCTGAAAGTAATGCTTATTTTTTCAATTATATCCACGAAAATTTCCTCCCTCTTTCTTCCCCCGGGTTCATTTGCCACAACAGATTTAGTAATTGCTGTCCCTGGCATTCTTTTGGTTCCTTGCTGCATTTAACAAGGTCAATGGCATAAACGAAGGTACAGCTATAAATCAAATGAAAATGAAGAAAATTAATATCTGGTCTGGTCCTTTAAGAACAACACTTCCAAGTTAGCATAAAATACCATGAACATGGCAGCAGGACCAAGGGGCGGCAGACGGCCAGCATCAACCATAATTGGCTCATTAAATATGTAAGACTTCAAGATTTCTGTCGATGTTGTTTGTACATAACCAAAATCCTATCACAAAAAGGAGAATACAAAGAAAATTTTAAGAATATAATATCTACTTCAAACAGATGATTCAGATAAATCAGGATTTTCTGTGAGTGGATAATAATTCATAGATATCATCAAAAAATTAAGGATAAGGTTGTTCAAGAGATAAATGCCTAATGGGGCCAAAGAAATTAAACCCTGCATAGTACCCAAAAGAAACATTTATTAAAGAAAAACTATAACTTTCACTGTTTTAGAAACTAGTCATACGTTGTCATAGTTGCCTGAGTTTCTATGTCGCAATATATATAGAATATTGGGTGAAGTTGAGGACAAACTTTATAAGATGTAAATATCTTAAAGAGTTTAGGTAGGAATGTATGATTGTTGTAGATATAATTAAAGGGTTAAGAAAAAATCTATGACAATACGGTGTGAACTTCATGAAGAACTTTACAACAATTTTTGCAAAATTAAATTAATAAGAACAATAATTGTGGTGCTTTGATGATATTTTGAAACCAGTGATTGTTTGCAAATAAAAAGATTTTTTTGTGAAGTCTTTTTAGATAGATTATTAAGTAGTTCTTAACTGTTCAAGCTTCACTTTTCACAAAAAAAAAATGAATTCATTGGCATCAAATTTAAAAACTCAAATTGTCCCAAATAAATGGGCAGAGGGTCTAATTTGTCGCAGACTAACTGAGGAAAGTAATACAAGATCGTGACAATATGCACAAGGCAAGTGGCTTACAATAACTTCATCCAGAAGCTCATACACCAGCACAAAATTTTTACGCAACGAATCTTCATTTAGAACACCGAGGTAATCTTTGATTACACGTGCAATCCTCTGAAGAAGCTCCAATACAAGAGAAGGCGACAAATTTGTCCTAGATGTCGCGACAAAAAGTAGACCAACTACCTTTACATGGAAGTAGTTCACACCATCCACATTCTGCAAGGAAAAAAGAAAGAGCACTATTAGCAATTTGCAAAACTGAATGCTTCATTTAGAAGGAATATGCATAATAAACAAAAAAATGGTCATTGACAGCTCCCCTTTAACCAATTATCTGTCAGTTGAAATCTTTTCAAGCTGACATATGTGGGAAGCCTTGAATTGATCAACTCCACACTCGTGCATATAAAAATCCTCTTGACAAATCAACAAATCCAATAAAAACTGCAATTAATGAATGAGGAGGAATAATTTGGATTTTAATATGAGAAGACGTTTGAAACCTCCTACTATAAGAAAATTGATCTGCTTAGGGCCATATAAGGATAATAGAATTTTGTCGGTGCTATGAGTCAGGGAAAGCCTAAGGGGCTAGACTGTGGGATTTAGAATGGTTTACTGAGGACCTTCATTCACTCGTTTTACTACTTCCGAACTGCTCAACGGACACTTGGATGCGAACGTCTTTCTATAATATTATATAGGTAGACTGATCAATGAAGTTGACTGTCTCTAGTTGTTTAAAAATTCTGCTCCCCCTAAACCAATCCTAAGAGGGAAATTCATCTATTAATTAAGATGAAGTGAGATGGATAATGTGCTACCACACTGGTAACTGGAAATTCTTTCAGATATAAATGACAGAGAAGAGAAGTGGTGGTAAGTGCCATTGGTTTCCAATTTTTGTTATAACTCTTTTCAACAAAGGATATGGAAATTTCTCTATTACACAAGAAAAGAATACCTACAAATACAGGAGGTGCTTCCTCTCCACCGTCTTCTTTCCAAAACTTTACTTTCCTGAAGAAGACCTCTGCACTTCCTTTTGGTACATCACCCCGATCTGCTTTCATGTAAATGTTAAGGGAAACTCATCAGATTCAGCCTCATTTATATTGCAGCGGAACAAAAAATATGAAAATAAGGACAGTGATTCCGAAAAATAAGGGTGGATGATCCACGTGAATCATTCATCTCAATAAAAATGAAAATAAGGAAAGAACTGTCACGAGAGCTCCAATCGCTATGTGCAGGAACAAAAATAAGTAAATAAGGTCAGTCATACAAGGGTGGATGATCCACAAGAATCATTCATCTCAATAAAAATGAAAATAAGGAAAGAACTGCCACGAGAGCTCCAATGCCTATGTGCAGTTAACTTAGTTACATAATTTTACCATTTCCCTGTCCTCAGTGCCCTTACTTTCCTTTGGAAAAAAAGGTAACTGCTGGAATTCACTATTTCATAGTTTTTCCAACGAACACATCAAAAGCATTAACCGTGCTCAACAGGCATTGGTTACATTCACAACAATGAAGACCCAGTGTTAAGACATAATCGAACACCGATGATGCACTTTGGAGAATTTAAACTCCTTTCTTTTCCTATTCCCCCCCCCCCCCCCCCCCAAAAAAAAAAGATCCCTTCCCAACTCCACTCCGAACAAAGACAATATTCAGAATCCAGCTATAAGTAAACATGACTTAAATATGAAACCTGACATCTTAAGCTCAAAGTACAGCGAAGAAATTAATCGGACTTTATTTGCAAAATATATCATAATGAGACAAATATAACTCCACTTGGTTAAGCTCAGTTTCAATTAACCTATTCCTTAACAAACTGCCAAATTCTCCACTATATAGCACTTCGTGAACCTAAATTCACAATTATCCAGTCAATCCATAATACGCTAAGCCCTATAGCGAGAAAAATGTAACGAAATCGTAACACTCCAGAACTCTAAAAACCAAAAGAACAGCTAATATTCCATGGAAATTCACCACAAAAAGAAAAACCGAGAGACCAACTAGTTTAAGCTCGTTAGTTATATACTCCAGATCAGCAAACTGAAACTTGATTCAAGTGCTCATCAAGTAAAAAAAAGTACAATTTCAATCCATAGCTACGAATTGGAAGAATCGATGAAGCGAAAATCACATTGTAATTCTTTTAACCAGAAGCAGATCTGAAATATTTATGAAATTACACATTGTGAATCGTAGAGATTAAAGAAAACTCACAGTCACGGAAGACGATGCTATCGCCTCTCTGAGAAAGCACGAAGAACTGAGAAATCATGATTGTTTTGAGCGAGCTCTGTGAGTTTGCTATTTCCTTTTTGATCTGATACTTGTGTTCTTTGCCTGGAATTACCAACCCCGCTCCACACACACGTCGTCGTTTTTCACTTTTCTGTAGTAAACCAATCTAATCCCCATGCTTTTGTCGTTGCCTTTTTCCCTTTTCTTCCCTTTTTCTAATTGTTTGAAATATTTATCTTGGTCACCAGTTATTGCTTGTGATTTTTTTTAACTGGTTTTAAGGTAACGTGTACCCTATATCAGTGAATATAATTTTATTTTAAAACTATATAAATATTATTAAAACATTATTGAATTATATAATAAAAATTTAAAAGCTAAACAAATTTAAAGTCCTGAAAATCATACATTTTGATCTGTAAAGGAAAAAACCATACACCAAAGAAGTCCTCCAAAATGCCAATAAATCATAGTAAAATATTAGAAAAAAGACCAAAAACTACTAAGTAACATAACTTGAAATTTGAAGAAATTATTATCTGTATTAATTCTAAAGAGAAAGCAACCGTGGAGGTGGGAACCGAGAGAATTCTTCTAATTCGAGCCCGTTTGGATTGGCTTAAAAAAAGTGACTTTTCAGCAGAAATAGCTTTTAAGCCAAAAAGCAATAAGTTGGGATTGTCCAGCTTATTGCTTTTGGCTTGTTTTAAGCAGTTTTTAACTTATTTTAAGCACTTTTTTTTACTTTCCCAAATACTGAAAAAAGCTAAAAAAAACTTAAAAATTGATTTGCACAACTTAAAAGCCAATCCAAAAACACCCTCTTCATCAATTGTTGTAGTTTTGAACAAATTGCCTAAGAGTGTGTTTCTAATCTTTGTATTTGTGTATTTATGTGTGTGTTTTTTCTTTGGAATAAATTGAAATCAAACAATCATAACAACTATTCCTAACTTAAACAGAAAAATGATTTCTAAACCCAACAAAAAAATATAGACAAAACACTAATTACAATTTTACCCAACCCCTAAAGATACTTCGATGTCTAATGTTCCACTGAAATTTTAAGTTGTCACATTGACTTTAGTGCTAACATTCTTATAGATATTCACTTGTCTAGTTTAATAACCAGGTGTGTTTAACCCATGCTAAAGCACGGGCCCAACGTCAACTTGAACATGTATCATATTGTAATGAACTGATCACATGCTACCAACATATACAATTGCATTGTTAAGTTTCTAACACCATTAAATAAATCATTGCATCACACCAATTCACAATAAGTTATAGTACATTTTTAACAAAAAACTTGCGGGCTAAAGTCTAATTAATTTAAAGCATCATAATGATGTATAGGCTCCAATCTTTCCTGGTACAAAAGTTCCAGGAGCCAACTTGAAACACATTACCTAGCACAGTAAGGTACTTTTAGAAACTGAAAAATAAAAATTGTGACTTGCACCAGAAAACAAATGAAGACATGTTCACAATACTTTGTCTGCTACAGTGTACAAAGTTCTGGAACTTTGCATAAACGATCTCAATAAAATACACCCATTATTCCAAGTCTGCAATAGAATCACAATCCAACGATCTAATCTCCGTGCTTGGGGGCACAATGGCAATGTATTGCTGCAGTGCACCAGCCCCTCCAGACTCTTTGTAATATAAATCCTTCCTAAAGAAAAGAATTAGTATCACATTTGACAGTGCCAAGATTGCTTCATATTTGTGGAAGTCTTCTCCTGGGGATGACACACTAATCCTTTATATTATCTAGCAAGATCATATGCAGTTTCACATATAACCTGGCTGCCATTAAGAATATTTCATCCGAAATTTGATTCCACAGTTAATACATTAAGCTAAGTTGTGGGAACCTTCTGGTTGCTCTAGAACCATTGTAGAAGAGAATAGGTTGGCATTATCTCGATGTAATTCAGATGGCTATACTACTAAAAATCATCTGTTTACCGACGCAAGTTACCGACGGATGTCCGTCGGTAACCAAGCTTTACCGACGGAAATCCGTCGGTACGTGGTTGGTAGGTAAATCCTTCCTCGGTAAAATATACCGACGGAATCCGTCGGTAAGTACCGACGGACCCCATCGGAATGCCATCGGTAAATTTCTGACGACAGCTGGTCAAATAATTTTACGTACCGACGGATATCCGTCGGTATATTATAAAATAATATAATAATAATAATAATAATAATAATAATAATAATAATATCAATACCGACGAAGATCCGTCGGTAAATTAAAAATAATAATTTAGTAATATAAAAATTAAAAATATGAATAAATTCATTTTCCGATTGCTATCCGTCGGTATTTTCTATAAAATCTTAAAATTTGGTTCAAGCATACCGACAGACTCCCTCGCTAATTAAGAATTCTGGATTAAAAATGAATAATTGTTCCGATGGACTCTGTCGGTAAGTCCCTCGGTAAATCTGGTACATTTTTGGCAAGCAGTGCCTATTTTTTGTTGCACCACCTACCAGCAAAATATCACAATACAAACTAAAATGCAACCACAATAAAACTCAACTTAACAACAAAAAAATTTTATAAACTATATCTAAACATCCAAATTATCCCATCAAATATCCAAATTATCCCATCAATCATCAAAACCATCCAACCAAACATCAAAACGTAACATTCAAAGTTAACATCCAACTAAACAACAATCCAACCAAACATAAAATCACTCATCTTCGGGTTCCCCCTCATCTTCTTCATCATTCGTATTATTTCCATCACTTTCATCCTCTTCATAAATGTAGCTTTTTGGCGGAGAGCGGGGCAAGCCGATTAAGTGATTCACTTGAGCCTTGAGAGACTCAATGTCATTTCTAAGTGCGTCTCTAATCTTCTCTTCATTTTTTCTTTTTTCTCGTTCATCGGCACAATTCCTAGAAAGTTGTTGAATTGTGCGCTGCAGTTGCACGGTGGCGGATGTCCCAATACCTTGTAATCCACAAAAGAGATTGGAAAAAACACACGAAGAGTTAGAATTGAATAACACTATTTTAAGGCAATGCAATGACTTTGGACTAAACATTCATGATTCCTACACTACACGGAAGCATCAAAAACAGAAAACATGAACATTTTCAACCAAGGAACATATTATCAGACAAGCATAAAGACCCAAGTTACTACAAAATGGCAAGGTCAAATTCCTAGAGTAATTCAGGGAAGTGAGAACTGAAAATAATTGGAGATAACAGAAACAAGAAATAGAGGAATGCCCTAAATTTCATAATTATCTTGAAGAGACTAAATATGTGGCAAAATATTGTGAAGAGCTTCTAATGTATTAACTCCACAATTGAAAGAACCTCTCCAGGCAGATAAGGATCTTATTTGAATCTCCAACCTTCCTCTAGGTAAGGATATGGGAAGAACATTTTACAGCAATGCATATCACAGAACTAGTACAATTCAAAGAGTGCAGAACAAGGAATTTAGATAAGTCATAATAGTTATAGTCATGTGGTTAAGTGTAGATTGAAAATCTGTAAAGAGATCTCCACATATTCAAGAAGAATCACTGTCACATCCATAACCTCTATAGTATAACAGTATCCAAGCAACATTTTAACGACTTGCATCACAAAAATAATTCGTAGTTAGTCAATCTTATTCCGCATCGGAAATTCGTAAAATATTAAGCAAGTTGGAAAAGACATCAAGAAAGAGAAATCCAAATTCATGGATTAAAAGCAAATATCGAAAAAAATTGAGCACCTAAAAGAACAAAACAAGTAAAGTAATCAGATCTCCCGACAGCGAATAAGATCGATCTCTGACTTCTTCAGGGTAAACTAACATGCAAGAAAACATATACTGCGCTATGCTAGAACCTATTATGCAGCACCTTCTCCGTTATGGTTTAATTCACAATATTTGTTTTACAAAAAACCTGATTGAAGTAACAAACATTACAGTTATCTAAGCCATGTATTTTTTGATAACCGAACTGAACCATACATGTAAACACATGAAACCAAAAGGTTGTATTTCAAGTATGTGTTATTCTTTTAACTGAATCCGAAACAGAGCTAACAAAAAGAAGAGTCTATTAACCAAAAAGTATATACCTTTTAGTCCACACGCGAGGCGATGAAAATTGCGCTCGGAGGAAAGGCCGTATGCTCTACCCCTATACACGCCACCAGCCACATTCAGCCACAATGGGAGAGTTTCTTCCTCCGATGGCATGATTGGCTGGCCTTGCTCATCGGTCGGCTGACTCCTAGCGAGCTCCTCCACTGCTTCTCTATACCGATTCTACATTAAAAGTGAAATTTAGTATATAAACAATCATTATAAAAGAATTTTATAAAAGAATCATCAACACCTTGTACAAATTCATCTCTTAAACCCCGCCGATTAGGAAGATTCCTATCGTAATGGAGCTCCAGATTGTTGTTCTTTGATGGTTTGTGGGGGACAAATGGATTTGCTGCAATTGAATCATTTACATGTTAGATTAACCCGAAAAACATAAGGTAGAGTAAATCGGGGTCAGCCGCAGTAAAGTGTTTATGCCGAAAGATAAAAGGGTGTTGCATATTTATAAGTCCAAAAGAGCTATATGATGTCCCTCGAATTTGTTCATGATAGCAGCAGCTTGTACTTGTGGACGATCTATTTATGTGTTATTTATCAGCAATATTTGTAGGCTACATGCATTTCAATTCTGAAAAATTAGCTCACTAGCTGATATAATGAAGTACACTATTACACCGATCATTAGTTAATTGCCAAACAGAATTTCACAAATATTGTCATCAACTTCGGCAAATTAAACCCCTACCTAATAGGGCAATATAATGCACTGGCTAATTTTCATCAATCTGAGTCTGCACCCACGGACTTTAATTCCAACTATACATGTTTTATATCCAGTTCATATTAGTCTTTTTTATCACCCCTTGAAAAATACATTCGGTATTCTTAATCAAGAGCACTACAATTAACTTAAATTACTTTTGATACCAGTAAAAACATCTTTATATTGTTAGCGACTTAGCGTATATAACTTAAACCATATCTTTATAAGTTAGTCATGGTGTTGAAGCAATTCTCGTCCTTCTGAATAATGTAAGTTGATTAATATTATCATGTACTCAACACTTATTCAAATAGGTTAAAATTCTTTCTAGCATTATCATTTCACCTAATATCATATCTTGTTCATATCCTGGAGAGATGGATCTATCTGAAGCTAGACTTCCTGCTATTGTGAATAGCAATAACCAAAAATACAACTAAGGGAATTAATAAGTCAAAATTAATGGGGAGCAACAAATTTTCAAGCCCATTAACATGGCATGGTTGCAGGGCAAGAACAGAACATTAATATGAGAGCCACATCATATGGGTTGTCGTCTAATTATATATCCTATAATATCCATTTTCTTAACATAATATGAAAGTTAAGAAAGTTAAGACCCGTGCTATGTTAACTAGCTTTTAGAGTCGAGTTCTGCTCAAAGTCCATTAACAAGAAAGATAAGTGTTTATGAGTTGTGAAAGGGAAAGAGGAGGTAGTGAAGAGGTTGATGTTGGTCAAGTACATAAACTAGCACAACTTTTTATCAACCTGCCTCAAGAGTCTATATAATTGAAATTCCATCACATCTACAAAGTAAATGACTAGAATTGGAAGAAAACAATCGCGAGAGCTGATAAAAGATTTGAACAATGCTCATGACACAAACTAACAAAACCTTCATCATTACGGCATACCAATGATCCAGCAGAATGTCCTGGACTATTTGCTTCCGCAACTTTATTTGGAAAAAGAACCTTTGACTGTTTGACACTACTGATGCATGTCCATCTTGGCAAAACGCCCCTTGATTCTTGTCCTACTTTCTGCCCGAACCTTTCTTGACACGTACCTAATGTGCTTCTCATATCTGATGAAAACATCCCAGTCAAGAAACATGATATTTAATAAAAGACAACACCAATCAAGACAGAAAGAACTATAACTTGGTCCATAATGTCTTAAAAGCCCTGGATAAAGCATCTCCTATTTTGACTTTTTGAACAACAGGATTGTAGGTAAATCATACTTTGGATGCAAGATAAGACCTAAACAACAGGATTGTAGGTAAATCCAAAGTGGTTGAAATAGCATTCTCCATTGCCAGACGAACAGTTAAAGGGTCTGAAAATAAGACCTAAACATTTAATCTTCTTGAAATTTAAAGAGAAAACCTCTGGAGTTGTAGTATCGGTTCTCAACATCAAAGTCATGTTCATCGGGCACCTCGTCTGAGCACACGAATCCATACTCCTTATCTGAATCTGCCAAACACACATGCACACACAAAAATCGGATAAAAACTGCAAATTAAACCTAATACTGTTTGCTCAAAAGTTATCACATATCTTATGAGTATAAAACAATATAAATAAATCACGGGAAAATCATAGCAAATCGTAATAATCCATTGGACCAAGCGAAGAACATGAAAATAAGTACTCAAGGTTAGGGGGAGAAACATTAAAAGCCTTTATTGATAATATTGGTTTGGTCTGCCTCTCCATGAAGAGGTTCGGAGCCTTACAATGGTGTTTTCACTTCCCATAAGATGGGTATGTTTTGCTCTTCTCTCTCTTGTCCATAGTGGTGAAGAAGCAGCCCCCTTTCTAGGGCTTCCACTCTTAGTATTTATAGATGTGAGCTTCGTGAGCTGGCAATAAATGGCCGTGGCCACGCTGAGGTTCCGTCCCCATGGGGAATGAATGGGTCGTGCCCTCGTAGATTAAATCGGACAAGAGTCGAATCCTCTTATGAATAAGTGGCCATACCACTTATTAATTATAGATTAGCTCAAGACGAGATTAACTCCGTTAATTACCGTGAGGTCAGATTCTGACCATACAGTTAGTCCCTCCGCTTATTGAGGTCGTGTTTCGGCCGAGCTCGATGAGCGGATTTCATCGATTGTGATTTGAAAAAACTCGAATAAGGGGGTCGACTTATTGACGGCGGCGGACTTAGCCGTTTACACGTTGGAGATGGCCGTAGCCTTTCATACATTAGAGATGGCCGTAGCCTTTCATATAAAGGGGATGGCCATAGCCTTTCATATATTAGAGACGGCCGTAGCCTTTCATACATTGGAGGTGGCCGTAGCCTTTCATATAAAGGGGATGGCCGTAGCCTTTCATATATTAGAGACGGCCGTAGTCTTTCATATATTGGGGATGGCCGTAGTCTTTCATACATTGGAGGTGGCCGTAGCCTTTCATATAATGGCGATGGCCGTAGCCTTTCATATAATGGCGATGGCCGTAGCCTTTCATATGTTGGAGAGCCTTTCATACATTAGAGATGGCCGTAGCCTTTCATATAAAGGGGATGGCCATAGCCTTTCATATATTAGAGACGGCCGTAGCCTTTCATACAATGGCGATGGCCGTAGCCTTTCATATATAGGAGATGGCCGTAGCCTTTCATATATTGGGGATGGCCGTAGCCTTTCATACAATGGCGATGGCCGTGGAGAATGAGTATGCGCCGGGTACGTATTTGGTCAAGTCCAGAATTTTGACGGCGTACGGCACATTCTTTCAGCGTTCGCAGGCCGTTGCGATTATTCTGACGGCGGGACGTTGGCGGATGGCTGAGAAGCCGCTTCGCGGAGCTTGTCATAATGACGCATGCTTCGGCAGGACCGAACCGTTTTACGGTTGGTCGTGCAGTTAATGATGGCTATTGGGTTTCGCGAAAGCCATTTATGTTGCCTATAAAGGTGGGTTGAGGCATTCATTTCTCATATCTTCATTGTTCATCTGAGAGAGATTCTGAGGAAACTTTTTCATTCTGCTAATTCATCTTCTCCTTTCTTTCCTTTGATTGTGATAGCATTTGAATTTATCCCTTTCTCTTAGTAGATCAACAATGGCAGGCAGTTCTTCCCACGATGCTCTTCCGATAGATTTTCCGGTAGTTGAAGGGCCACCTCCGGCAATGGGAGGTGCAGAACAGATAGAGACCGGAGAAGTTCTGTCGGTTGACGAGGTAGTTCCTCGGCCCGGAGGTCTGGCGATTGATTTCACTGTCGACGGTGGAGAGGACCCGGTGGATGAAGCCCCGTTAATGGGGGAGATTGGGATGGCCCGATTACGGGAACAGGGGGTCATTCCCACCCATGCAGACATCGTTCCCGCTAGAAGCGAGGAGAGGGTCCACACCGACCGCAGGGGATACTGCGTTTTTTACGCCTATCCTTTCAGGTTGGGGTTCAAGATCCCGCTCCCAATGCTGGTGGTGGATTTCTGCCGTTATTACGGGGTGTGCCCGGGTCAGCTCACTCCTTCCCTCTACAAATTGTTGGCAATGTTCATCAAGTACGCGGAATTGGCCCGTAGGGAGGTCACGCTGCAGCATGTGCTTAGTCTTTACGCTCCCCAGAGAGTCCGTGGCACCATGATTCAGGCGTGCCCTCGTGGGTCGAGGGGCCTGGTCATGAGATTGGATGACGAGGTCGACCCTCGCCCTTTCGAGCACTTCTTTTATATCAGGACCAGGCATCTGGTGGCTGATGCTACTGGGTTCCCAGAGGCTTGGAACCATGCACGTAAGTTCTTTAGTGGTTGAATTCCCTTTTCTTCCCCTCTTTATGATTTGTGATCATGAGCGTTAACTCGTGTCGTCTTTTGTAGCCGACAGGTCGCCGCCGGCTCCATTGTCTTGGATACGTGAGTGGGTCGAGGCCGTACTCCCCCATACGGTGGGGATACACACATGGGCGTCTTTCTGAGAGAGGCATGGCCGCAGGCCTGTGGCAGGTAAAAAGTTGATTTCTTCTTCTGTTCCGCTTTGTTTCAACTCTATTCATCAACTCTGTTTTCCTGTGATCAGGGAGGGCACGCCGCGTCAGGGCCCCTCAGTTGGCCTTCCGTCGGCCTGGTGCAATTGCTCGGCTTACTGTAGCGCCGGTGTCGCGCTCAATACCGAGGGCGGCATCAGTTGAATCTTCAGCGGTTCCTTCTCCAGCACGGACCCTACTTCGGGACGAGGGGCCATCGGGGGTTGTGCGCCCTAGATTGTGCGCCCTAGAGCGGAATCGTCATCAGATGGGGAGGAGGAGAGGCCGTTGATAAGGCGTAGGGTCGTGTTCACGCCGGCTCCTCCTGTGGTAATCAATTTGGACTCCCCCCCCGGCGGATGTGGAGAGGAGTGCGGCGGCGGCGCCTGCCCTTGAGGGCGGACAAACAATGGGGGTTGCCGGTTGGCTTAGGTCGTGATGATACTGTCGCTTCGACGACTCAATTGGTGGTTCCAGTAGCTGAGACGGGAGGTAGTTCCTCAGCGGCTGCTAATGTGGGTGAGGCAAGCGCTCCTACGGTGGCTATTGCGGGTGGTTCTACCTCGCCGATAGCGGAAGGAGGAGGGGATGCTGTAGGAGATGAGTACGAGTCCGAATCCGACTTGGACCCAGACGACGTCCGTATGTTCCGGGAAGGCTTCACCAATTCAGTGGTGCGCGCAGAGGGGCGATCTCGCTTCATCGAGGTTCCCACGGAGTTGAACTTATTGCTCCAAGGGGAAAGCTTGGTGCCGCAGTTCGAGCTGCTATGCTCGGAGGTCGAGAATGCGTCGTTGAGGGGCGTTACGGATATCGGACTGATGAATGAAGTGGCCGTGATGGGCTTGAGGGTATGTACTATTACGTCGGTTCGCTTCTTCTTTGCCTTAGTTTGTTCTTTATCTTAATCGTTGTCTTTGCTTTGCAGTCTTATTTGTTGGAGGTGGAGAGCATCCGTCGAGCCAAAGTCCGCTCGGGGATATTTTTGCGGGCGCTGGAGAAGTATCGCCGCTATCGGGATCAGTGCCGAGAGTTGCGCGTGCGCTTGAGGAATGATCCCCGTAGCCGGGCCTTGGTCGAGGAACTGGCGAGGCGGGAGCTTCAGATGCAGCAAACACTTAGCAGAACGAGTGCTCTCGAGGAGCAGCTCCACCGGAAGGATGAGGAGCTCGAGGCGGTAAAGAGAGCCGCAGCTGAGTGTGAGCGCCAGGGCCAGGCTAAGGCGGCGGAGGCCGCTGCGGCATGGGGCGGGAAAGTGACTGCGTTGGAGGGTGAAGTCGCGATATTGAAGCTTCAGGTGAGGGATGCCTCGTCGAGGGCTGGGGCGTTAACGGAAGCTATCCGCGTGCACGAGTCCCAACGGGCGTTGGAGAGGGCTACTGCGGCCTTTAGAGAAGCGAGTCTCGAGGAGCGGATCGGTGTCTTTGAGCAGGACGCCCAAGTCATGGTGGACCGGATCACAGCCTTAGAAGAAGAGAATCAGCGCCTACGGGACCAAGCCGCTTCTTCCAGCCAGGCTCGCGAACTTTGGGTCTTTGCCGAGGCCCAACGTGATGTATATAAGAATTTGTGGGAGGCCGGCATCGTGACCGAAGCTGCTTTCGAGGGGGCGCGTCAAAAGGCTCGTGAGGCCCGTACCGACTGTGGTTTTGACGCGGCGACGCTAGAGGCTGACGCTGGTGCAGATGGCGGCGCGGATGGCGCCGAGTAAAAAGATATGCATTTTTTCTACTTAGTGTAATTCTCAATGTATAAGCTAATCCATCAGTAATAGTTCTTAAGAATATTATTAATACAATTCTACTTAATTAGTCTAATTACTAATACATGGGCTAATCAATCATTAATATTACTTAAGGATGCCACTAATACGCATCTACTTTATGTAATTACCCATTTATAAGTTAACCAATCGCTAACAATTCTTTCTAATACATTTATGCTGAGTGTGAGAGTTAAGAATACTACCAATACACTTATATATATATATATAGTAAACCACTAATCCGTATCTACTTTTTGTAATTATCAATTTATAACCAAATTAATCGCTAACATTTCTCAGGTATAACCTAATCAATTAATAATAATTCTTAAGACTACTACTGATAAACTTTTACTACTGATAACTGATATTACTAATACACTCCTACTTAGTGTAATTCTTAATGCATAAGCTAATGAATCAGTAATAGTTTTTAAGACTATACTAATACATATTTAATTAGTATAATTATCAATGTATAGGCTAATGAATCATGATAATAGGCTATATAGACGATATTTACACCCTAAATGTATCATGCTTTATTGTTGTTTGAAAGGCTAAATGATAACAAAATGCTCTAATTGGTGTTCTTTTGCTTCGCAGGGATTAATCCAAGTTAGGAAGAACTGTGGAGTGTTTTGGAGTCAATAATGTGAAAAAAAGGCCAATCAAGAAGCACCCGAGTGGAAAGAAGCAAAAAAAAAAAAAAAAAAGAAAGAGGACTGGGCTTGAACCACCGCCACCGCGGTAAGCTAATGAAGCGAGGCAGAATGATTGTTAACGATACCACTAATAAACTTCCACTTACTTCAGAATACCACTAATATTATTTAACGATACCACTAATAAACCTCCAATTACTTTAATTATCAACCTAAAGATAAACAATCACAAATATCATTAATACACTTCCCTTTAGTGTAGAATTATCAATGTATCGGCTAATCAATCACTAACGTTACTTATATAAGGATACCACTAGTTCACTAATTGTTAACGTTACTTAAGGACACCATGCATTAATACACTTCTACTTACAGTAATTATCAATTTATAAGAGAAAACATCACTAATATTTCTTACGGAAACAACTAATACACTTCTTCTTAGTGTGTAATTATTAATGTATAGGTTAATCTATGTAGTTAAGGATACTACAAATTTATCTTTACTTTGTGTGGTTACAAATTACTAAGCCAATTGTCACTAATATATTTTTAAGTAGTGTATTACCTCCACTTAGTGTGAATTTCGATAAATAGGCTAATCAACCACTAGGATAATTAAGTAAATGCTTATCGAGGGACTTACCGACAGGCTCATTCGGTATTGTGTAATAAAAAATACAAAATAATTATCTATAAGATTATATATTTAAATTACCGACGGAAGTCCATCGGTACTGTAAGAACAAAATTTAAATTATTATGTAAATGCGGTAGGATTGACTACGTCAATAACTTTATTTTCTTTTTCATTTATTTTTTTTAAAAGTACCGAGAGACACCGTCGGTACCTAAAAAAAAAATTCAAAAATATAAATTCAAAATGTTCCGAGAGAGTCCGTCGGTACAGCTATTTAAATTTTGATCGGTTAAAATATTACTATTTACCGACGAAAGTCCGTCGGTTCTTTTTTTTAAAAATTAGAAATTAAAAAGCTCAAACGTACCAAGAGACTCCGTCGGAAAGTCCTTCGGAATACCGACGGAAAAAAATCCGTCGGTGCTGCGTCGGTAAACAGATGTTTTTAGTAGTATATATAATCTGTCATTATAAAGTTGAATGTAGGTTAGTTGCTATAATTACTAAAAAATCATATAGAGATGGGGCAAAGTTATTTAAGGATAAAAATTCCAAGAGTTGTACCCTGTGACAAGAGTAAAAAAAAAATTAGTGAATAACTAAGAGAGCCAAAGTTTCGGGTTGACCTGAAAAAACTAATGCAGAAGGGGCTTGGGATTAAACTATAAGTATGTCCAGGTATCCAAATAGCAACAATCCCGTTATACTGCCATTCTTGACAAATAGAGCTGAATTTAAGAACTTTCAAGTCTTAGTTCACATTCAAATATGCATCTAGTGATTTAACTTTTGAGTCCTAGGTCATGAGAGTAACAATAATATGTCTTTTAGTTTTATCGTTCAGTTCTTACGAAAAGAGTTGCACTAATAACTTTCAAAGAAACACAAATGAGCAGTACAACTTTGCGGCTTACCGTTTTATAAAAAAATTGAAAAGGATGAACCATATCTTCCCCTTGCCAAGAATTCCAATGAGTGAAAAAACTTGACCCTGCATTTGAGATCTTGTTGACATGATTTGTGTTTGCAAGAAGATGTTCACTTATTTCCTCTTAATTTTTGCAACAACGGTGCTTCTTTCTAGGGCATTGTCATATGATCATAGATTTTGGCAACCTAATCATGATCTTCCTTGACCGAATGAGGATCTTTTTGGTTTGTGGAGGATCCATCTATATAATAATTTATTTTTCATAAGTGTTAATACTGTAATCGTCCTATCAACATTATGATTATTCTATTTCATTTTACAGAAAAAATGCATAAAGGTACACTCAGAACAACACCAAAATATAACAGGTTTAATCATTTCTTATAGCATGTGTTATAATAAAGAAAGAAAATAAAAAAGATAACACTTATCATAGACAAGTACCCAAAAAGCATAAAGAATTTACTTTGACACTCAATTGAATGGGAATTCAGTTCAACCCTAGATAGACAACAAATAGATGCATTTCATTAAGGAAAACTTGTACCTCAAGCACGTAGATTCTACATGTCGCATATGATTAGGAGATGGCAGCTGTAAACACGTTGATTAGCTTCTCTTTTCCTCTTTTGCTCTTTCTTTCCCTATTTTTATTTGGCTAAAAGTTCTCATCACTCTAGGAGAAAGCAGTAAAGGCACTACTATTTACATTGTTACTTCTACAGGGTATTACTATATTTTTCAAAAAAGTGGTATAAAGCAGTAGATTATAAGAGGAATTGCCTATCATGAAGAATAACTCATTAAAAGGGCAAAAACGAAAGAGATCGTATTAGCGAGTACGGACATACACGACCTCAATGGTTAACTAATCGTTAGTTGTATGTTCAATGGTTCTATTTGTTCCAATTTTATTTGTAAAAGTAGAAAGGGGCTTACTTGGTGTTTAACCAGAGAATAAGAAATTCGGATCAAAGCGTATTTTTTAGAAGAACTCGGGTTAATGATAATCAAATTTAAAGTAAATAAGAAGAATCGAGATGACTGATAGCTAAGTAAAAAGAAAGCAAAGTAAATCAGTGTATTCCAATAATATTGTGTGTCTTTACAAGTGTTATATCTCTCCTTTTACAGCTATCTCTCAATAATATATTTTCTTTCCTCTCATAATAGAGCCATTATGAGCAATTAATGACATTTAATATAACGTTATAATTGATAATCGTAACTGTTTCGTGAAGATTCTATAACGTTTTCCATCACTGATGCTCATTAATTATGGATAATACGTATTTGTACTTTTGCTATCGAGGTTCATTCCTCTGATGTCTTTTCATATTACCAAGAGGCTCGAGTAACTGTTCCTCCCTATTTTTCTTGAATCTCTGCCCGTGCCTGTCAAAGCTCGTGCCTTTTCAGCTATCCTTTGCCAGTTGTCGCTCTTTTATTGATCCACGTGTCTTGGTATATCATCACATAATTAATTCAATATGTTAACTTGATTTTCCCAATACAGATAGTCCCCCCACTTGCCATTTATTTAATAATTGAATATTTGGGAAGTGGATCTCATTAAAGCGGGAATTTTTGCCGCCATTATACCTCCTTCAGAACTGACGCTTTGTATGTCACTTCCATTTAATGCTCGTGACATGTGGCGTCCTTTAATTGGGTCTGCAACCCTTCAGCGTCTTTTAGGGCTTTTTTGCGGCTGCACCAACCACGAAGTGACAGTTTTCATCATAATGCCTCCATCATTACCTTTTTGTTTGACGGTTGCTTTTGAGTATAAATATAACCTTTGTCTTGTCTTTCTCATAAAAGTTTCTTAACTTTGAATATTCATTCTTGTCTTCTTCCTTGTTCAGCCATGTCTTCTTCAAATCCTGATCCTCGTAAAGTTCTTATTGTAGATGAACTTCCTCTTGCTCCAACTAGGAGCAGGAGAGGAGGTAGGTTACGTAGCTTAGGCTCCATTCGAGGTTCGCCTTCATCTTTACATAGTTCCACTCCTCCTTCTTCTTCTAGAACCAGGGGTTCTCTTCCACATAGAGCTTCTTCTAAAAGCAGAGATTCCAATGAACCAGTTCGTGAACCCTTAGTAGATGAAATTGTTCCCTCTGAACTTTCTTTTTATTCTGATAGGGAATCGATTAGAAATCAAGTTTCCTCTATGTCCTCTCTTGATCGTGCTGATGTCTATCCTTCTCAAATTACCGAAGGTTTAATATCTGTCGTTCGTAGAGATTGCCATTGGAAATCTGACTTCCCCGTCATAATTCCTAATGCAAATCAAAGAATCACATCCTACATAACTGGATTTTCTTTCGTGTATACATATCCTTTTACACTGAATTTTAAACCTCCCATTGATCCTATTATCATCGAGTTCTGTCGTTTTTTCAATGCTTGTCTTAGACAAATTGGCCCCATTGTATGGAGGGTTGTTGCTTGTCTAAGTCATTTGGCTAGCTTGGCTAATTTGCCTTTTACCTTTTTTCATCTGATTCACCTCTACTCCCCTAAGCTATTCCAACATGGGATCTTTACTTTGGTAGCGAGGAGCAAGAGAGTTTTAGTCATCCCTGAGGATAATAAGGACCGTGGCTGGTATGCCAGATTTGTTGCTGCTCCTACTGTAGGGTTAGTAGGTGAAGAAAATATACCATTCCCTGAAAAGTGGAATTTCGCACGTAAGTTTATTTCTGCAACTTTCTCTTCTTCTTTTTTTTACTTGAAGGGGTTTATTTTTCTTGTGACTGTCTAACTTCCTCTCTTTTTTAAGCAACCATGGGAACTGTTGACGAGATTCCCAATTTCTGTGGTTGGGTAGAGAAATTATTGACTGTTGCTCCGATGGAAGGTAGATCTTGGAAAAACCTTTCTCACAGGTTTGGTTGGAAGGTTAAAACTCATGGTAAATGCTTTACCCATTTTCTCCTTCTTTTTTTGTTCATTCTTCACTTAGAATGTATTTAACCCTTCTTTTTATCAGGGTTTCCTATTCGTGCTGTAAGTACTGATCACAGCTTTCAGACTTTCTTTGGCAAGGGCTCAGGAAATAATTCTGAGTTCTTCATCGAAAAGGAAATCTGACAAACCCCAAGATTCTGAAGAGGAAGAGGAACGAGATGAAGGTTCCTTGATTAAAAGGACGCGTGTTTGAAGGCGCGTTATTTTAGATGATGAAGTTACTCCTCCCTGTTCTATTCCCGTGACCGAGTCTGTTGAAGCCACCTTAGTGAGCTCAGAAGATGACACTCCTATGGCTGCTCGTGGCTCTGATGAACAACGTTTTTCTCGTGGGTTTGATAGTGAAAGTTTTGATTTGGTGTCTGATGAAGTACCTCTTGCCTCCTTTCCCGCGTCTGTTCCCATGGACCATTCTCTGCCAGTTTTTACTGCTACTGCTTCTGCTCCGCCTCAAGCTATTATGACTTCCTCTACAATCCCCGCTACTAATGTTTCTCGAACCAAAGTTGGTTCTTCAAGTGGAGGTAGAGTGATGAAACAAATTACCATTGAGGTCCCTGCTGAAGGTAATCTTCTAAAGAAGTCAGGTCAAGCTGACGTGTGGTTGAAACCCCTCATCGGTCTAGTTGAAAAATCCAAACTAGAAAGTCATAGTTCTCTGACTTGGATGAATGATATCATGCAATCATCGTTGAAGGTATAAATTTTTTTTCATATTATATATTGTTTTTCTTTTACTAAGATTCTTTTGTATTCCCTTTTTTCCTTTAGATCAATCTCGTCGGCACGGAGATGATGAAAAGGGTTTCCCAGACAGAACAATTGATGCATGATTGCCAGATCAAGGCAGACAACTGGAAAGAGCAGTATGACAGTCTCCAGCTTGAAATGGAGGTTTTAGAAGAAAACAAATGTACCTTAGAGCAACAGTTGAAGATTATATCTTCAGAGTTGGCCGTTGAGAAGGCTTCTAACAATCAGGCAGGCAAGGATAGAAATTTCCTCGAGTCATCGTTTGCTGAACAACTCTCTAAAGCCTCCGAAGAGATCAGAAGCTTGAAGGCCTTGTTGAGCGAAAAAGAAGCTTATGCAGGTGATCTTGTTCAAGCACTTACTCAAACCCAAGAAGATCTTCGTGTGTCTTCTGATAGGTCAAATTTTTGGAGAGTTCACTTGCCCCTTTGCAATCTTCTTATGATACTGCTTTGGCTGAAAAGGAAGAGTTTAAGAGTGAAATTGACCAATGGGAAAGAGATTATGAGGCTCTTGAGGATAAAGCAGCTGTTGAAGTGAGTTGCGCTATTTTGAATACGCGCCATGATACTCTTGTGGAAGCTAGCCAATAACTTGGATGCTGAGTTAGCTAAGATAAAAGAAACCATTGAAGTTAATTTGAGCACGTTGAAGCTGACCCTAGTGCGATGAATGTTCCAGCTCCTCTAGATCAAGTCGAGCCTTTTGTTGCTGATGATGCCATTTTGAACCCTTCTCCTACTCCACAGTGAAAGTTTATTTGTGAAATTTGACTTTGTCTCTTTTTTTTTCTTGGTGGAATATGTGGTGATTTTACCCCTGGTCCCATTTGGAGGTTATGTTTTTTATTGATGTCAAGTCCCCAGGTCTTCTCGGGGCTTTTTATAAAAAATGACAATCAGTTTATGACTAAGTTCTTACTTAGTTTAATATTATAAATTTTCTGTTTCAACTCAATTCTCTCGAGTTTCTGTTTCACTCTTTTTGCCTTGTTTTTATAAGTCCAAGGTCTTGCTTTTTGATTCGTGGATTTTTGTCTTACCCTTTTGACTTTTACTTTTTAGAAATGCTTTATTAACTTCATGCATCTTTGAATCAAACATGAATTTATAAAAGAGGGCCCTTTTATATATGACACTTAATGAAGAACACGTCTCAACTTCATAATGGTGTAAGCATACGGAAAAGAAATAGGAACACACATGTTTCTTGAAATAACTTTGATAAAGTTTTCATTCGAACTTTGTCAAGTTTAAATAACATCTTACATGTATTTGAATATCTTTTATTACCTTTCGGTAACTGTTTTCTTTACAAAAGATTCAAAAAATAAAGAAAATCCAAGGGTTTCTTTATAATTCATGGCTAAATATTGCCTTTAACCTAAACGAGTGTACTCTCCATAGGTTTTTTTATCAGGCTTGTGTAATTGGCTCGTGACTTTGCTCTGAACTTGATATTTGATGAGTAGACTTTTAGGCTTGACTTGAAATTTTTCAGTCTTCTTTGCCCTCCTTATACATATATCATATGTATATTATATAGTCCCCCAAATGTTTGAGCTTTGAAGTATGAAATCTCGAGCACTTGATTATTCCTTCCATGCGGTCCTTTTCCTGAAAAGGAAAAACATATGGGACTCGGAGGTACGATTTTAGATGAAGACTGCTTAACCCATTTAAATTTCCATCAGAATAGCTGTAACCCTAGATCGGAAATTATGTTCTTTCCACGTATCTTTCAGGTCGTAATTCATCATTTAGTGTGGGCTAGCTTTTTGCCTATCATCTAAAATCGTTAGTAAAATTTTAATAAATCAAGAATAAAAATCGTTAG